TGTTGGAATCTGTGCTTGACGACGACGATTGTGCCGAGTCATTTCGATCGGAGGATGAAGAAGTTGGCGATGTTGGCGACGATGACTTTGAAGGCAAACTTTCTGCAAGTGATGGTTCAGTGAAGCTTCTTGAATATTGTTCGTTTGTCGTTTGTTCCGTTAAATCTGGTGTCGAGGCAGACCAGGTTCCAAATAAAGACCAACGCTTCGTTTCACCTGACCTCTTTTTTGTAACCGAATCTTCATTGGCAGATTCAGTCTTTGCTGTAGTCTCCTCGGATACGGCGTGCTGGGCAATTGTTGATTCGTTACTTACATTCTCCGAAAATGCCTTTTCCGGTTCCTCGGAAATACTGTTCATATTATCCGTTTGTATCGATTGTGCATTATCGTTAGTATCATTATGTACATTATTGTTGATCTCAACTACGCTTGGCTCTTTGCCAGAATCGTCCTTTGACATAACACCCACAAACCTCCACCAGGAAGACCTAGATGAAGTGGAAGCATTAGAAGTCGATAGCCTAGCCTCCTCTTTTACTAGTACGTGATCCCGTTTCGAATCACTGGACATATCGGGGGCACTCTGAGTTGATGTCTGCCGTATCATATCTGCACTGGTGAATTCAACGGGTATTGCAGGATGCGACTCTGTGCGTCGCTTTCGTTTCCCAAGATTCGGTTCTAGTAAATTGCTTAACGACGAAGTGCTACCTGATTTCCGTACTCGCCTTTCTATCATTTCGGCTTTTACTGTTGTCATATCAACAGCCGTTGTTGGGTTTGTGGAAGAACTGTGATTGCGTAAAGACATATTTAATAATCGATCGCTTGGATTTGTGGGTTTTGCGTCCTCTTTTATTTCTTGAAGACCCTTCTTCTCTGGAAGGTTTGATGGTATCGGGGAAGAGCGACTTGCTGACGAAGACCACCAGCTTCTGAGCGATGAGGATTTTGATTTCTGATCGTCGTATGTACGCCTGTTATTACTTGAACGTTTTGGTATGGGAATTGCACTGGAAGTAGGAGAGTCGTCCTCTAATAATGTTGACGTGGTTGATAATGCCTCCGAGGTTACTGACGATGTCTCTATATTAATATTGGTGGAAGATGCGTTGGTCGAAGCATTTGTTTTATCAGTAGGCGAATTTGACGCAATAATATTAGAATCAATATCAATAGCACTGCTCGGGTTCTGAGTGCTATTGATATTGTCTGTCATAGTGGAGATAGAGTCGTTTGTCTTGGAGTTGTAATTGCTGCTAGTATTATTGTCTGATATATTTTGTGTAGAGTCGAGTTCACTGGAGCCCCATAACCAGTAGCGGGACATTGTAATAAGTGATTAGAATAGTATATCTTTGAAGAAAGGGTAGGGGAAAGAGGATAATGTATTATTGAGTTCACGGTTTGGCGAGAGCGTAGCGTATTTATTTATTATTTCTCAATATTGAATGTATGAGAGATCGTGATGTCATGTAACAGTCATTATATATATACAAAGAAGTGTATTTTGATCGTATAATAATATAAATAAATAATTTATATAATGAATATACAGTGAACTTGCTTATTGTTTATTTATTATTTCCCGAAACATTATAAATTATTGCAATACCCCAATACTTGTGTTATTGTAAAATGTTTGGGGCGATCTTCTGGTTATTACTGTTAATATCGTGCATTCATTGGTGAGCAGCACAATCCTAATAGGATCTCACCGCAGTGGGGAAACTTTATGAATTACCCCAATCTACTGCGTTGCTTCTGCGGGAGACTGCGATGATTGTTTGACCTGAATTTTAGAAGAAAATTTTTCCTTATTTAATAGGCAATGAGTATGTTATTTTATTATTATTATGCAAACTAATCACATGAACATAATAAAAGTCGCCTATTGGGGCATATATTTGTGATATATTAGTAAACTATTTCCAACAAGAGAAGCAAAGAAAATCGAGGTACGACTTGTGTTTATTTATTATTATCCACTTTCATATGTTATTTCAGCAGCCACTCAAATTACAGGCTTTTCCCATAATGCCACAAAGACGTGGCAAGTGGAAAACGTAATATGCCAGACCGAATATAACCAACAAGGGCGGATTGAGATAATGTCGGAAAACTATTGCTTGTTCCGTGCGTAAAATGTTATCTTTTGCCCAATTGTATGATCATAACTTTACCTGACCAAATACTGTTACGTTTTGCTAATTCATGAATTGATAAAACGTTGTGGTAGGCTAAATAAACCGTTACCTTTAATAAAAGAATGTTTTAGAATAAACATTTCGTCATCATCATGCAATTTATCCATCATGTAAAGACCTAATCCAAACTGTACCCGTTTTCCCAACTCTAGCTCCCGTGTTTATTAAATTCTCGCCGTTCAAACAGTGAAAAGATTTCATTAAGTAAGCTTTCGTCATTCTTCCGCGGGGGGGGTGTTATTTTGTGATACGATCGTGACTCACATTGACCAACGTAACGCTAGGCTTCAAGGTTTGCGTGTTTTCTCCTTTATCCCCCTCCACTCCTGATTCGGTACTTTGGGGAATGGAACTTTGAAGATGTAGAACACATGCAACATCATATGAGTGCTGTAGGGTTCTGATGTGGGATGGATGAGTATACATGTGAGTCCAATCGGGATTAGGAAGCCCATGTATGTTAAGGACAATGACTGGTAAACGTAAAAATAGACACTGAAAAAAAAATTTTTTTCTCTCTTTTTGAACCTTGATCTGAAAAAAAAACCCATCCAACTCAAATCTTCTCAAAACAACGCCTAAACCAAAAGAAACACATTTCTGTACATATCACAATAGCAGATTATAAATAATTATCCTTCCCCCTAATCACGTTACATACTCCTGCTTATCTTTTTCGCTCCTTCTTTGTTCAATAATAACGTTAAATGTTCTCATAAGCGAGGGGTCGCTTTCAAAAAGGTTTGCTGATGACGGTGGACGATGGTGCGGTTGATATGAATGTATTATAAATGTGATTATAGATAAGGTGTTAACATTAAATCACCTGTTTACCTTATAGCTATTAATAACTAGTATCAGGTGATACATTCACACGTCTCACATAAACACACATATATTTGTTTATTACGATGTTAGTGTCTAACTAGGTGAGAATATTAAATGTGTTCCGCCTGTCCCTCAACTCCTTGTCTCTTATTGAGGGGTTAACAAAGCGATAATTCTCAATAAGAATGATAATAACAAATAGCCAAATTCATTGTCTTACGACATTGGATCAAGTGACTGCCTGAGAAAAATACAGCGAAAGAGTTGCTATTGTCATAAATTAGATACATAGAATGTTTGCTTGTGGTATTTAGCAAGCCCCCAAAAAAGGGGGGCTTCCAAACTAGTTAAGATTGCGTCGATCACAGTGTAACTGCACATGACATTCAGATCAACGTTTGTGGTATGGTCATTCTAACGGAAATGATAATAAACGATACACGCACAACGCTTGTAGGACATCAATCATTGGACGTTTGAGCAAGATACAAACTTATTTACTATTATACACATGTTTTTGTAAACTCGTTGATTGCATGAACGCCTTTACCTTTTAATTTACGGCAGAACTTGTTACATATGCTTTTGGGAAACATTTTTACACAAAGCGTACATAGATTTACTTTACGATCAAACATCACATGAATTACCGCTTTGTCATGAGAAATGATGGTAAACAACGTATACTTTATCTTAGCCACTTGTTTATGTTACAATAGAATAATATCAATGATCCTTCTTTAACGAATTAATAACCAACGTGCCCCATTTCACAATGAACTCAGGTAACATGCAATTTTCGTGTCTTGTTCAGCGGAGCCCCATGTTTTTGCGCGCATTCATACCATTTGAAGTTATGAAATAAATAGCCACAAAGTCTCTGACTGCGGAATAACATATGCCAATGATAGTTACCACTGATGAAATTTTGGAGTTACAATCAAGTCAACCGTTAAATCCACATCATAATCAAATTAGAGCATCATATTCTTAAAAAAACAAACGCTCCAAACGGATAGTTGGTACAGTGCTTATTTCTCGCTATATGGCAGCACGTTTTTCATAACTATCGCATGCGTGCAAAAAAGTTGATTAGTAACAAGCCACTGATAATTTCCAAGTCCATTATGCATCAAGTCTAAGTTTTCTTGGACCTCATACTTTATATTCCAACAAAGTTTTTCGAATCAATTGAGATTGTAGGTGGTTAGTATAAATGTATATTGGCAGTTGCCTTTTCTGGTTAATATCAATTCGCTTCGTTGCTAAGCTGTTTATTTAGCTTATTATAAATTTCAATTAACGTATTTGCCAACTCTTGATGCGTTTCACGGATTAGTCACTTAAAACATGTATTTAGGTTTTGGTATCGTTCATTACGTATCGTCTGCCTAATCGAGAAAGACTGGGGGGGTTTGTTCATCAATGTGGTATTTGCCATACAAACAACATATTTAGTAAAATTGTTATTATCAAGATTTTACGATTGTTCATTGCACCCTTTTGGACTTGAATTTCTTGCTTTCATGACACTTTGGGAATTCGACTCGACATTGTTTACGAGTTGATTATGTTATCTCTGTTGTGCCCCATTTTGAGATTTGGGACTGTCACATTGAAATAATCTCTTGACCCAGTGAACTACATAATCTATGTGATAACAGCGAAAATATATGTGATAATCCTGAAACGGGAAGACCCCAACTCGGAACGGTCAAATCCCAGAATGCGTATCAACATCTTACCAGATCTGACAAGAAGGCGCAGAATCAGCCCACCTGGTCTATACACCACAGTTCCGTAATCTTCAAAATTAAATAACAAGTCAAATTTGCGAATGACACGCAGAATCATATGCTTATTGTCGGATCTTGTGCAAATACTCTGCACGTGTTTTGTCGGAAAATTTTAGTTAGATTTTGACGGTTTGGCTGTTGATTCATCACGTTTCGAATAGTAAAATTCATAAGAAAATAAAACAACACGTTTTGGAACATGTCGATTGACAAGACATAGCGAGATTCACCGCCGGTAAAACGATAACGGTAGGAGCGGCCATGGATCCGCGGGTAGAGTAAAATATACAGTAAATTATATACAGTAAATTATATACAGTAAATTAATCTACCTGGCCTTAGAAAAGTGTAAGTGACAAAGTCCTGATTGCAGCAATAAGTTCAGGAGTAGTTTTCATCAAACCAACTGACACTTTGTGAGTAAAAATTAAAAT